GGGGGGGGCTGGTGACGTCACGGGGAGCGGGGATAAAGCTCCCGGGCCACAGTCCGAGCCAGGACACTAACCAGGCAGCGCACAGGGCTGCCGGGCTCGGACGCTCCCCGCGGGCAGGCCGCCCCTCGCTGCGCCCCAGCCCAGGAGGAGACGCCAGGAGGCACCATGCCCCAGAACGTGGTTCTCCCGGGCCCTGCGCCCTGGGGCTTCAGGCTCTCGGGGGGCATAGACTTCAACCAGCCTTTGGTCATCACCAGGGTAGGTGTTTTCTGTTCTTTTGCTGCAAGTCGGGGGCTCCGGCTTGGGGCGGGTCCGCCTGGAGCGGAGAGTGGCCAGTGAGCCCCGGTGCGCTCGGTGCGTCCTGGGGCCTGAGCGGCGGCAGCAACCGGGCAAAGTGAGGTTTGGAGGAGGCAGAGCAGCGCACCGAGGTGACCGAGTCAGCGCCACTGGTCGGCCAGCATCCTCCGGGGCCCCAGCCACTCTCCAAGAACAGGATTTCACGGGGCGCGGGGAGGGCTAGGCTGCGGGGCTGAGGGTCCTCTCGCCCCCCCGCCCTCCACTCAGGCCTCCTTTTGGTGACAATCGAGGCGGGGGCAGGGGAGGGAGAGATGGGGACCCAGGAGCGCGCGATGGGGACGGGAAGGAGAGAGGGAGGCCTGGCCCTGGAGGCTGTTTCTCGGACCCGGAGGCGCGTAAGCGCGTCTCTGGTCTGGATGGAAACTTCAGCAGGGCGCTGTTCACGGCGCTGCTGGGGCGCCGAGCTGCAGCCGCTCTTATCAGCCCAGGCGGGGGAAACATGGCTAATCTGTATCCCTCGGTTTCCAGGCATTTTGAATAAATATTTCCCAAAGCTGGGAACTTGGCTGGGCAATCATCTCCTATAACTGAAACGACAAAGAGAGTTTCGTTTGCCTGATGGAAAGTGACCGTTCGGCCTCCTAACTGAAAATAATGCTTTACTGTCAAAGCCAGGCTTCCCCTACTCAGTAGTCTTCAGAGTATTGTCTAATCCGGGGAAAAGAAAACGGAAACTTCAGAATTTCTGTCGTCAGTACATTTCTAGTTGGTATAGTTCATTTCTTTCTAACACAAGTATTTGTCTTAAAAGAAAAATGTTATTTCAATTATCGCATATAAAGCATATTAAACCTAAAACTTGTTAACGCTTTTTTTCCTTCCTTACTGTTTATGCTGCATCTTATCAATGTATACTTTATAATCTGATTTACTCACATAGATTTTGAACAAGGTAATACCTTTGATATTCTGTTCTAATACGTCTATAAGATTCGGGAACCAGCGCCTTTTAAAAATATCTCCGAACATGTTTCATACATACGAATACTACGGAACATTTCAGGCTTTGTTTTACATTTTTTAAAAACATATAAACACATCTGACATGTGTTTTTGTGTGAGACATGAAAACTTAACATACCCCCAAAAATGTTCCTAAGTAAACTAAGCAGAAAATGGTTTGGTGATCTGGGCCAAGCACTGCCTTTTATGGATTTACCAAAGAAAACAGTTTCCATTATCTCTACTGAGAAATATTTTTAAAGTTTCTGAAGTACACTTCTCATTTGTTTATATGAAATGAAATAAGCTTTTGAATTCTAACAAAAGATAAATCATATTTATGTTAAATCCTAAAGAAGTAATTAAGTGATTTACAAAGGAAGTCTCTTGCTATTACTATGCAGCAGGTCAATGTGATTCATCTCGTGTTTGAAATTCGGGTTGTTGACTTTTGAAGAAATATTTACTTAAGGCCATGTTTACATTGTGCAGTTGGTCTGCAGGCGCTCTTTGTAAACGTATTTGATATGATGACAATTATTACTTGGGGAGCCGATTCTGGTTTGCATTTTTAACTCATTACTAATTTGTATCACTCATTTTGACAGTTGGTTCAATAACAGTGCATGACCATACATGATTATTTCATTTACCATGCCTCTTCTCGTCAATTAATTTAACTCAAGGAGAGCAGGTGAAACTAAACTGCTTTGAATTCCAAGTGTCCCTTGAAATTCATGCTAAACAAATGAAAACACATTCTCTTGAACGTTTTTGCCTTAGCGAACACCTGATTGGGACTATTTCCACTGAAACTACAGGAATACTAAAAATCATTTGGAAATAGACTAAAAGATATTGCACAAAAGAAATTACCAGTGCTGTAGTTAGGTAGTAGGATTAGTCTATTATTTTTATCATCTTTATATTTTGTGTAAAGGAGGTGAACAGGGTTGTTTGCCAAGCTCTCTTCTAAGCCCTAGATAGGAACTGACTCACTTAAATCTCACGATAATCCAAGTAGAGTAGCAGCGCTATTATCCCATTTTACAGAAGAGGAGAGTGAGGCTTCAAGAGACTCATTAACCTGCTGATGACCACAAGCAGTGGGACAGAATTAGGTGCCAGGTCTGCCTGCCTCCAAAATCTGCATTCTGGAGTCCACAGGTGTGAAAAAATTCTGCTTATTGCACAGGTATTTCCAAATAGGTGTTCTGTGCCATCCAATTCGTACCTGGTCCTGTTGACTCCATATCTTTGCGATCTACCACTTTTCTTGTTTCTACCTCTGTCCCTCTTCAAGACTTCATAACGTCCCACCGGGCTGTCTGCCTCCCTCTCCAACTCACCACATGTCCTTCCCCGGCCATCTTTGGGAAACGCCAGGTTGCTCCTGTCTCCCCTGTTCTTAAACACCCCTCGATAGCACCACCAGATTATAGTGAGTGACTTGTGTGGTCTTTACATGCTCCTGGCCTCCACCCTCTTTCCCAACTCGAGGTTCCAGCTCCATTTGCTCCCTCCCTGGCCCTCTCTCTCTGTCCTCCCACTCCACAGACAGGCAGTGGTGCCACGACTCGGGGCAACTCACGATTTCTCCAACAGTCTTGGCTCCTCTATCGTCTTCTCCAGAATTCTCTTCCCCACCCGCCCCACTGTCCTCCGTGCCTGCGGAAACCCAGTCGAGTAGCATGTGATCCCACAAACCACCTGCTCCCCAAGGGCAGGAACTTTCAAACTTGGGGGTTGCTCGGTGCCATGCACAGTGCCTTGCCCGTCTCATATGTTATAGAATAAATATGACACAATATGAATGATTGACTAAATGGCTCACTTTTAAACATAACTATCACAAATAAGTGCAGACTGTGTCCTCAAAAATATTCCACGATAAAAATGACAATTATTTTGTTAATTGATTTGTCTATTTTAGATAAGTATGCAAAGAATGGAAATACCAATCCCTGCACTTAGTGCCACAAAAAGTCCCATAAATGAGATGTATTCCTCGTCAATTAAACCCATTTCTGTCCTTCTACAAGCCACCCCTTCCCTTCCTGCCTCAGACTCTACGAATGCTCCTGGTTAGTGCTCCCCTGCCCCACCACAGCTGGGGTTATAAATATAACTCTGCATCCATTGAAATTACACCATAACTGCTTACAACCCAATTATCCAGCCGGGTTTATCTTTGTGTCGTAAAAGCACATCAGAAGGAAGGTAAATCAAATACCAGACATTCTCAAAAAACTGAGCAACCGGTTGTGACACNATCAGAAGGAAGGTAAATCAAATACCAGACATTCTCAAAAAACTGAGCAACCAGTTGTGATACACAGTTTTTAGGAAAGCAGTATCTAGACTTGGCGCAATACAAACTATGTCGTGGTGTTCCGTTTGGGAGAGTGGGAAGTTTCTGCAGCCACCAAATATAACTGGCCTAAGAATTTCACAGAATACAGCTTAGGGGTCACGTCTCTAAGTGAGCAGCTTTTCTTTTGCTGGCCGGAAGGTTCCAAGAAGTCCTTCCTTCTGAAGTGCTTGGACCACCCAGAAGGTGGGCCTACTATCGCTGCCAAGTTGCAGACATTTGTTTTCGCAAGTGGTCCAATCTGGAATAAAGGGCAAGCTTCGCTTGTGCGTGAGGGAGGGTGATGGGATACATCCGATGCCAGCGTGTCCTCTCCCGCCCCCTTCCTCTCCCCTCCGCCCTCCGCCCTCTTCTGAGCATGCCCAGGTTCAAGATCACTGTAACAGAATGCCACACGGACTCCGGTACCCACATACAAAATTTTAGAGCATTCTTACGTTTTGCAGGCTGTAGCATAGAGAGGTGTTACTTTAACATAAACTGTATCTGAAATTTGAACCTTTAGAAAGAAATGTGTACAGCTGAATGCAGTCCCTTTCCAGGATTCAAGTGTAGTAAGAAGGTTGATCTGAATAAAAACCTATTCGGTTTTGTTCTACCAAAGACATGCCTGCACAGAAGCACTGGTTCCTATGTGCGTAACATTCATACACCTCATAAATATCTATTAAGTGCAGACTGTATCGTATGTGGAAGGCGCGAGGGGGGGGGGCACCATTATAACTTAATTGTTTTCTATGCCCTGAGAAGCTCATATATCAGTTGAAGAGAAGGGATGTGTACATAAACCACTGTGGTAGAAACCTGTCCAGCATCCCATGAAACGAAGTATGACCCAAGAGATGGGAGGAGTCAGGGGAGAGAGCACCTGCAGGAGGGGCTTGCTGGGACAGTGGAGGAGTGCAAGCTGTAAAGATACACAGGCCCATGACAGAAATCCAGATTTTCACTGGATGTGTGACCTTAAGCAAGTTTCTTATACTTTCTGGGCATCAGTTTTCTCATCTTAAAACACTGGCTTGAGAATTAAGTGAGGTCATAGTTCTCAATAATAATACAATAACAATCATAACAATGTTATAATAGTTCTCAACCCTGACGGCACATTAGACTCACCCTGGTAATTTGAAAATACCCAGGCCCAGGCGCTACTTAAAGAGAGTCTGGTTTAACTGGAGTGGGTGTGGCTCTAGAGATGTAGATTGCAGATGCGAGAGGACTTGAGTGCCAGAAAGGCACCAGACTTTATTTGTAGACAATGGGGAACAACCACACAATGGGGTTTCTCAGCACAACCCTTCAGTATATATTTGTCTTGCTCCATAACTATTTCAGTCATTTTTATTCTTAACATAAAATTCCCATAAAGGCCATATCTTGGACTTCCTTTGTGTTGCCTGCAATGAATAGAACATTATAGATGCTTCATCTATGTTTAAAATTATTTTTTTCCAAACAGACCCAAGTAATAGGTTGACGTGAATAATGAAAATCATCTTGTTAAAATCAAAAATTCACGAGCTCCTCTGATGGAGCTTCTGATTCATGAGTACAGAGATCCAGAGGGCAGGGCAGGATGGGGGGAGTCTTTATGTTCAGCAAGGAGCCCAAGTGATTCTTCTCATCAGAAGAGTTTGAAAACATGGAGCTCAGTGACTGACGGCAATACTATTCCCAATGATCTCTCCAATGCTTTTGACATTTGAGACCCTACTAACCTGAATAATAAATAATCCACTGAAAAATTCTTTACCTCGTTTTAGCTCTCTTTTCTACTAATTTGGGAAAACATGTTAAGAATAAACTGTGAGCAATAATATAAAATAATAATATAATAATATAAAGTAATGCAGGGAAATAATATGTTCTTATGATTAAACTTATAGTTTAACTTACTAAAACCAGGCCAGTTTAGTGATCACTGTCTGATCACTAGACTAACTGAACTTGAGAACTAGGAAGAAGTGAAAGAACAATGTTTTCTCTTTCTCCCGCATCCCTGTCTCTGCACACTTTCTTCTTTCCTATTGACTCCTTGGAGGTCCCAGGACATCCATGTCGAATGCAAAGTCAGAAGTGGGTTCTGGGCATCACTATCAACCACCTTGCCTATCTGACTTCTGAAACACCTGGTGACATAGCTGTGTACAGCTGCTCCCAACTTTAGTAAGAAGCCACAGGTTACTTAGACACTTCTCTGAAAATAGGAGCAGTCTCCTTTGTGCAGCCTGTCTTAGAGCTGTTGCAGTGGTCAGTTATTAGAAAGAGCTTTGCAGCCCAGTCGGTATGGCTCAGTGGTTCAGCATCGACCCATGAACCAAGAGGTCATGGTTCGATTCCCACTCAAGGCACGTGCCCGGGTTGCAGGCTTGACCTCCAGAAGGGGGCATACAGGAGGCAGCTGATCAATGATTCTCTCTCATCATTGATGTTTCTATCTCTCTCCCTCTCCCTTCTTCTCTCTGAAATCAATAAAAATACATTTTTTTTTTTTAAAAAAGAGCCCTGCAAATGTAATAGTTTGGGTAAATATAAAATAGTGTCATTAACATCCATATTAACACTGTTAATAAAATTTAGAATATTCAGTATCTAAATTTAGGACACCAGATGTCTCTGTTTAAAATTTATATAAACAGATACACACACAACTCTACCTTTCACTCAATCCTAACCAAAGCTAAAAGTTAGCCTTTTCTAAATCAAGTGAGTGTTATATAACTGAAATCTACTTGATTATATTAGAAAAGCAAATACATTAAGCCATGCTTTCTCATGCTTTCACTCAAAGGAAAGCATTCTGATCTCAGAATTTTACAAATAATACTGATTTTAATGAAGCATAGCTAGAGAAAAATTAAAAGTTTAAGATTATTTTTATCCCTACAAGTGACATTGGGGATGGAAACTTGTTATTCTAACAGTTCTGGGTCTGGGAGAATTTCTAAGTGGAAAACACCTATGAAAGGCTGAGATGTAACCATCTCCAGTTGTCTTCACCTAGATCCTATCAACCATTCCTAATGGAAAATGATCCTGATGATTGCAGTAGGACGTTCACAGAAATAAAATGAGTACAACAAACATCTTAGTGATAAGGCTGAAGATCTAGGACACATGAGAATTTACTATTTTAGCAATTTTGTTTCTTTAGATGAGTCTTGGATCTCCCTTAGAGCTGCAAAGTTAAATAGAATCAGTAGCTAGATTAAGAAAATAGAAGGGAGAAATGGATTAATGCCTGAGCCTCAAGTAAAACATTAGGAACAATCTAGTTTATTTCTGGAGCAGTTTCCAGATTTAAGTCAGGTTCTATGTATGTATCATGCTGCTCTAAATAGTGGAAACTAGCAAATGTAACAATGATAGGTTGACATTAATGGCAGTATTCTTCAGGCATGAGGGACTAGCTCTTTTTGTTTCATAAACTCTGATTTAAATAGCCTTTTCATTCATTTTTCAATTAGTTATTCATTAATTCCAAACACTGGAGTATACACTGTGAAGCATTAGGAATATTCATAATATTATACCTAGACTCAAGAACTTCCAGACTAGTTGGGAAGACAAATAATACACAAGCAAATAAACAAATATAAAAGTGCAAATTGTCTTCATGAAGGAAATGAAGAGGGGGTAATGGCGTAGAATAGTGGGGTAGGAGCTGGAGAAACTGCCTCAGATGTTCAGGGAAGTTTCTCTGAGAATGTGAGTTTTAAGCCTATCCTAAAGGATGAGAAAGGACAACTGGATAAAGATGAGGGGAAGCATTTCAGGCAAAAACAACAAAAGGGTACAAGTTGGGCCTAACTGAAATCAGAATAGCTACAGAGCAGATGTGGGGAAGCAGGAATGGTGTAAGATGATGATAGAAAAGTAGGCAAGGAAAAACCGGGTGGTTGACAATTAGGCAGTGGTAAATAGTTGGGATTTACCCAGAAAAACTGAGAGTAGGTAGAGCAATCAAAAGAATCACTGAATTCAACATGGTAATAACTTCATATTTATCTTTTAAATTAAACATTTAATGGCCATATTTTCCGCATATCCTTAAGTATTCCTTTCATCCCATCCCCCCAAAAAGAAACTAACATGGATTTTTTTTGTAGACAGCATAAAAATGGAACTTGCTCTTTTACCTAGTTTGACAATCTCTGTTAAAAAGAAGTGAGGTGTGTTTAGACCATTTACATTTAATGCAAATACTTATAAAGTTTAATTAAAATGTTGCATCTTGTTAGTTGTTTTCTATTTGTTCCATCTGTTCCTCATTCATGGAGAAGAGACTCATGGATATAAATTTCCCTTGTGTTTGCAGTTCCCAGGGGTTCTAGACTCTCAATACTAACTCATACCTAGCCTTTAACAATTTGTTCATAATTTTAGCTGAATTCTCTTTAACAGCTAGTTGCCTCCTTGTGTTGATTCAGGATAGCCCATACTTACATTTTGTCTGTCCTTGGAGGAACTCCTTAAATCCCAGTCTAGTTAGTTGCCCTGCAACTTCAGCTCTCTGTGGAGTTCATGAAAAGTTACCAAGTACTCCCTCATGTGAATCATAACTTACAGGGATGCTAAAGTAGTTTCAATTCAAATATAAAATCTCCCTAAATCTAGTAAAGTTCTATTCCCAAGTAGAGAGTCTGGGGTGACAAAAGAAACCTGAAAAACAGATTATTTTGTTTAAAGCAAAGAAAATATGATTCAAACAGGGAGATAGGGAGGAGTTTTAAAAAGAATAAGAGGTGCCCGGCTGGGCGTGGCTCAGTAGTTGAACGTCGACCTAGGATCCAGGTGGTCGGGGTTGGGTTCCTGGTCAGGGCACATGCCCAGGTTGAGGGCTCAATCAGGGACTCTCTCATCATCGATGTTTCTATCTCTCTCTCTCCCTCTCCTTCCCTCTCTCTGAAATCAATAAAGATATATTTAAAAAGAAAAAAAAGAATAAGAGGTGTCATGATAAATAAAATGTGGTTAGCAAGAAACAAAATTACTTAACATGATGCGAAAATAGAGCTAACACAATTGATCAACCAAGAATTATTGTAAAGTTAGACTTATAACTGCCTGCCCAGTAAAACATTTTAAATGTAACCAAGCTGAAATACAAATGTTAGGAACAAAACTCAAGATATTGTAAGATGTTGATTTTTTTAAGTGGTGCCATGATTTCTTCCAGATTACTCCAGGAAGCAAGGCAGCTGCTGCCAACCTGTGTCCTGGAGATGTCATCCTGGCTATTGATGGCTTCGGTACAGAGTCCATGACTCATGCTGATGCACAGGACAGGATTAAAGCAGCGGCCCACCAGCTGTGTCTCAAAATTGACAGGTGCTCTTTAACTGATGGTGTTATAATGTGATCTGTTTGGCAGGGGAACCTGAACCAAAACAATAAATGATTTCATCTTCCCAGTGAGAAAGGTGTCACAGAAAACTAGAATTTTGACTGGTTTTTATGTATCAGTCACGTTGGTCTGTTCTTCCCTGAAGTCAGTCAGTCTAGTTGTTGTCAACAAACCATTTTTAAAAGGAATTCTCTAGAATGTCAAAATAATGAAAGAGGCTAGTGGAATTTTTTTTCCTATTCTGATCCAGTTAATTGACTATGAAAATAGAACCATTAAAGACATCGGCCATAAGAACACTACAGAGCATGGCCAGTTGTCCTGCTGTTCAGAATGTGGTGGAAAATGGAATTCAAAGATTCTCCTAAAAGAATCTCTTGACTTGACAAAATGTGGAAACATTAAAAACTGGTTGCTAATATGCTGTAGGCCATTGGCTGTTTTGCACAGAATTCGGCCCAGAAGAATCTCAAAAGATGTGAGAATATGTGTGTGCACATTAGTGTATTAGATAATGAAACATTTCGAACCAAAAACAATGTTAGGAGATTGAACCTGATCTTTTGCCATCAGAGCCCTGATATGAAGCAATTGTGGAAATAAATGTTCTGTGATAGTGGTTGTTAGTGTGTTTATCCTGTTACTACTGTATTCATAATTTTTCCTGCTGGTACAGAAGACACACAGTCAATCTGCCATCTGATGGGGTGAAACTGACTCTTACTTGACTATGCATAACCTGTGTTCCTGCCAAGCACACTGTCCCAAACAGATACATAAGAAGGATAAGACAAAGCACGTTCCTTGATGCCAATGGCAAATCCACCTGGCCACTCGCTCACTGTCTCCTTTGTTGGCCTGGGTAGGTTAGGAAGGAAGTAGAGGAGACCTAGGGCGCTTGCTCTGGGGTTGTGTGCAGGGGGGCCCTGAAGAATCTCCCTCCTGTACTGTTTTCCACATGCATCAGACACCCACATTCTCCAGAAACTGTACAATGTCTTTGCCTCGGTCAGTTCAGGTTACTCGAACAAAAATACCATGGACTGACTGGGGGGCTTAAACACCAAGCACTTATTTCTCACTGTTCTGGAGGCTGTGTCTGAGACAGGGTCCAGCATGCCCAGGTTCTCGGTGAGAGGCCTCTTTCTGGCTATGTCCTAGCTTGGCCTTTCCAGGTGCATCACAGAGAGGTTTTGTGTCTCTTCCTCTTTTTAGAAGGGCATTAATCCCACCATAAGAGCCCTACCCTCATAACCTGATCTAAGCCTAATTTCTCCCCAAAGGTCCCACCTCCAAATACCATCATTTGGGGATTAGGGTTTCAACATATGAATTTGAGGACAGCACAAACGCCGTCTGTAGCAGTCCATCTTGATGCATTCAGGGTTCCCCAAAAGTACACTCAATACGTAAGACTAATGAGATGGGAGAATACAGTATCATGAGCATGGACTATTGCTGCTGCTTAACTTATCAAGGGTGAATAGCATTTTCACAAACACCATAGGAAACTGAAGGATGCCACAGCGGGAGTATCATTAGAACTCGGAGTTTACCAACTTTGTTTTATTTACAGGGCGGAAACTCGCCTATGGTCTCCACAGGTATCTGAAGACGGGAAGGCTCATCCTTTCAAAATCAACTTAGAATCAGAACCACAGGTATGAATTTTAGAGTAAATGACACTCGCTTTACCTTTCCTTTTAAGTGATGTGGGTGACTTCCACGAGGAAGCAGTGGCAGATATCAAACTCTGGAGTAAGTCACCTGATGAAGCCGCTGTCTGTCTTCTGAGATTTAGATGATCCCGCTTTCTCACATCAAGAAAACAAAGACGGATGCCTGGGCAAACACCTTGTTAAAAGACAAATATGTTCTCACCAGGAAAATTTGGCTATATCTACATACAGTCCGCTTATTTTTTTCATTTTTAAGATGGACTTCTGCCAAAAGACCGTGAGGTAATCCAAGAGTTTAAGATGTTAAAACAAAGCCAAAAAAAAAGAGAGTAGGGGAAACAACCATTTGCAACAGGTATCTAATCTGTTATTGTAACTTCAATCCTTCGAGGTCTTCACCCAGATCCTATTTTACACCCTTCTTTAATTCTCAGTTCTGGCATTCTGTAATTAAGTTTACTCCATGAAAAGCCTTGCATTATGTAATCATGGTGATATTCTGCCCACGCAGTTGAATAACAAAGACAAAGGATTTTCCCTTGAGGCAACTCTATCTACTGAGCAAAATTCATTTAATAATCTGATGCTTATCTGACCATGTCTGCCCTCAAAGGCTCCAAAAATCTGAAGTTAAACCAACCCTCAATTGTGCTGTATGGCAAATGTAATTAAGGAAAGGATTTCAGAACCTCTACTTAGAAGCTCCCCAAATTTAGAGAGACAGATACATAAATTCAATATCCCTTTGGTTTAGTGTTCCTCCTAAACAGAGGAGACATTCCCAAGGTATCGGATGAAAATGAACTGAAGGCATCTTTGTAATTGATGCTTCAGCCATCAATTGGGATCATCAACCCCTGTGTTTGTCCTGCAGGGTCTCCACTTGTCTCCATCAGCCTCCATTCTCTTCTCTATGAACTACATGCAGAGTAGCGTATGTACATGTATCTCATAGGGCTTCTCAAAGACTTAAGTAAAAATAAAATAGAAAAAGATTGGCACATTGAATTGTTCACAAAGATATTAAGTGGGAGCTCTTGTAATTACTGGTACATTCCCCAGCCCCCCTCCCACCAAGCTGTGATCAGAAGGCCCCCTAGGAAGCTGCCTCTATGACAGGGCTTCCTAGAGACCAGGAAAGCCTTCCTCCTTACTGTCACAAGATTACTTTGGATTCAAACATGGAAGGAACAGGAGGGTCTAAAGATAAACTGCATTTTCTAACATTGCCCAGGACCAATCCTGGGAACCAATTCTCAGAATACAGCTCTGCCACCACCCCCGCTTTGCAGATAAAAGTGACTGTGCAAGGAGAGAGGGATGTTTAGATCAGATGAGGGCAGGAGAGCAAAAAATTGATAAGACAGATAATGAATGTGATGGTGAAGGGATCTGAATGCTGGTGGTGGTTTACCCTGGCCTCCCAGGCGGGTTGGTGAGTAAGAATACCGCTAATCTTTGATAGAAGAAAAGCTTAGAGGAAGAAAACACAGAGTTCTTGATGCAGAGCTGTCACTTGTATATAGCCCTTCCCAGCAATGCCACACCCACTGGCTTTTTCCTGCCCTTATCAATTCATCACTTACAGGCAACATGTGAGAAAAAGTGATCATGTGATGCTTTAAAAAAAAGACAAAACAAAAAAAACAGAAGTTTAAGGCTCAGATACACACATTTTCTGACCGCCCGATCTCTTATTATCACCGGGACAAACTGGATAGAATTCTGAATTTCCTTTTCCACATACAGTACACATCCAAAAGTATACTGCACCCTTTTGCAAATTATTTTTTCCTCCAAAATTTCTCCTAATTTTATAAACCTAATTTCATCAATGTCAGATGCCAAGATATGGGGCCAATTAGACAGATTTGACCAAAGTCCCAAAGCCCCAGTGATCCCTTATGATGTCGCAGCGCCCCCTCTGGCATGTGGGTGACTGACTCCGGACTCGCCAACTACTGTACGCGGTGCAGGGGGACCTTAGGCTGAGATGGGAGCCTGTGCTTTGCTAACATCTCTCTCCAGAACTGGAGTTTAAGGGCAATTGTCTGAGTTTTAGCACTAGAAGAGGTTCCTTTTGTAAACTCTGAATATTGATTTATGACTGCTTATTCCAAGAACTGAATCTTAAAATATAATCCTAATTTGAAATTTTCTGGCCTCTCGACAATCACGTGTTGGCCCATGTGCCCTGCATTTTTGGGGGTTAGACAATACGGACATTTATGATACTACACACGGGGGAAAGATAGAGAAGGAAATAGGTTTTAAAAAAAGGTGAAGGTTGGGTTAAGGGCTACAGACGCCAGTCAGATGGAGCCTTTAAACATTCCTTTAGCTTGAGTCATGAGTAATTCTTACTGACACTCTCTCCAAGAGGCCCGTGTGAAGGGCTCTGCGATAAGAACCATTTCAATTATTTTCCTAATGGACCAAAGGATTTCTGCTCCTACATCCTCAGGCCAGGTTTCAGCATGATCAGCAGTTGGGACAGACACTCCCTACCCAACACAGCTCACTTGCAGCACAGCCTCTGCTCCCCGGACTCCCACAGCATGCACAGGACAGCACACAGGGATAAAAGGCCAAGCGGTGAGTTTCACTTGCAGAGTGAGACTCGAGAAAAGCTAAACTGCCGTCATGTTTATGTTCTTCTTTTATTTTTTTAATTAACACAAAGCTATGCAAAGAGTTGCCCCGCCCTCCCCCCCAAATGAGAACTACAAACTGGACAACAAAGGTGTGTCATCTGAGAAACAAATGCCATTAACGCATTTAAGATGCCTCGTAGGTGAACACTGAAATGCCACTGAGCAGTACACAATGTGGTTCTTGTTTCTCAGCCCAAGTCAAGTTTACTGTAAGTTATGTGGCTTTTGCTATTGGAATAAAATACTCTTTTTCATTTAAAAAATAATATATGTTTGTTGGGGGGAAAAAACTGACTACTATATATCCTACCATCCAAACGCAGCCACAAATAATAAAATGTCAGTATATTTATTTCCAGTCTTTTTCCCTGTGCATAAGGCTATGCTCTAGAGACTTTTTCTTACACAGTTATAGTAATACTTGATACAAAATTTTTAATATCTGGCTTTTTTTTTTTTTTCATTTTTCCATGCCATTATTAAATAGTTAAATTTTATTTTTATGAGTTTAGACCCGAAACATTAGAGGATATTTAGATCAACCCCAGCCATTGAATACACGCCTTCCATACAGCCCTGAATCTGGCCTATGAGCTGACACATGCATTTTCCTGTACAAAGCATTGTTCTAAACTAAAGGTATGTTAGAGTCCTATGTCCTTCTTTAAAGCCCACATTCTTAAATAAAAAAATTACCCTCATCATTGTTTCATGTTAGTTGAACAACTAAAAATGATAATGTAGCTATCACAAGACAGGAAGGATGCTTTTCCAACCCAGAAATGGTTCTTCTCTAAATGAGAAGATAGCTGTTTCCACTTCCAGATAAAGGCCTGAACCTTGTCATAGCAGATTTGATAATAAAGACGCACTACGTGCACAGTCAGGTGGGGTAAGGGTTGAAGTTCTTTATATTTTCATAAAATAACCTCGTTCTACAATGTTTTGATAACTGGGTGGCAGCCTACACAGAGCCAAGTTTTCAAAATCCCCATGTCCTCCAATTCTTCCCTGGTGAGAAATGGGGAAAACATGAAACAGATCCCTGCAGAAAGTGATCATAAGGGTAACTTTATTTTTCATTTGCAGGGTGAGGCTGAGGCAGGGGGAGTGATTGTTCATAAATTGCAGACATTATAAAATATAATCATTTAGTCAGTGTAGTTTGATCAAATGTATGATCACCTGATATAGTCTTTCCCTTATTTCCCCACCATTTTTTCTTATAAATAATATATATGTATATTATCAAACATGTTGTTTGTTGGAGTTGACAGTTGCCTCCGTTCTCATACTCAGTCTTTACCTGTGACAACTTCTCCCAGTGAGAAGCTGAAAGGTGAACTGTCTTTGAATGTTCTCATTGATGAGGTCGTTCCAGGACCTGGGAGATAGCTGAGGAGAGTTGCTTTCTCCCGACATCAGCAGATCTCTGCTTTTAATCTGACAGCCCTAGCATTTCATTAATTCAAAATATCATTTATTAATATAAACTCCTAACATTTAAAAAAAATATTTAAAAATATAATTAATTGCAATGGTTATTTATTGAATGCCTAAGAGGTAAGAATCACTTGGATGCTTTTGTCTGGGTAGAATAAACACAAGAGCTGGACTCTAGTAACTGCTATATAAAGTTTTTACTGGTATTTTCCATGACTAATGATTTTCCCCTATAAAATAAAATAAAAAATTAAAGTGGAATAACAAACTTCTAATTGGGTTTGTCTTTCCATTCTGTTTGACCATCAACAGTGATGTAAGGGTTGGATAGAATGTTGCCTCTGTGCCATCTTGAATTTTTTGTTTACCTCTGGTGTACACATTTCATTGTGCTTTTTTGGAATGACTCTAGCAACCCATGAACTAATGCTTTGCAAAGCCTAAATATGAATGTTTGAAGCCTGTATTAGAAAAACTTCCTTTTATGATCTGACTAGAAAATAGAGGGGTTATATTTTTCCTTAACAAATTACACATTTGTGACTTTTGCAACATATAACCAAAACTGAAAATAGCAAAGAAAAGCTTGGAGCTGATTAACTTATGTGCTGCTATTGTGAAGTACCACGAGAGATTATTAGTGCACATATACTTTCAGGAAAGTTCCCTAGCTTACAGGACAATCACCACCATCCATGTTAATTTACCATTTTAAGACTAATAAAATAAGGGCAAAGATTTTTCCCATAAAGCCATCACATGACGTTAACTAATTTTTATAAATTCAGTCCTGTTTACCAAGATCTTGAAAGTGTATCATTATTTAAAAAATAATAATAAAGCTACGTTCCAAATAGCTTGAGACCTTCAGTCCTGCCTGATTCACTCTTTTAATTAGCCTGAGAGATTTATAATCCGCTAAAACTAAATTAGGCAATTAGCCTCTGTCTTCTTTCATATAAAAAGAAAAAATAACAAAGGCTTGAATCATGGCCATTGTCATTACTTAAAATTATTTCCAGTTCACAATTTCATGCCATCATAATGGCTAATCATAATGGTTAATCATAAAACATCCAATCCAAATTCATTATTAAATCAGCCCAAAAAAATCAGATTGTACCACTCTATAAATGTTGGACTACACACATTTTCCCATGTTCTGGGATTCGGCATTTTTCTAAAGCCACATTTGGCTGTTTTCAGTCATTCTGCTATCAAATAACGGTAACTATATTGTCACCATACCAACTCAGAAGCATGGGCCATTATTCTGGAGGGGAAAAAATGGAATCAATAAGCTAGTAGTCAATTCAATCACTCTATAGATTCACAGGCTAATGTAGTCAACTTAGACCTTTTTGTCAAGTTCAGGAGGCTGTTAAAATATGCTCTCCAAGGCTGATGAGAAAGAAGCTGCTCTTGACCGCATCACAGATTTTAGGTACAACGAGGTTTCGGGCAGCTGGAGTCAAAGACTCCTTTGACGCTACATCCCATTTGCCTCGTCATAACTTTTTTTTTTTAAGGGAGCTTTGCCAATAGGCCTCGGTGGGGAAACGGAGTATGTGTAGTGACTGCCTTCTCGAGGGAACCAAAAGAAAGCATCATGTTGCTGGGGTCCCTACAGAAAGTTGCTGGTGTTCTCAGGCACAGGAATCTCTATGCAAAACCCTAAAAAGGGGGAGAAAGACTGTTTTCTAACAAAAAAAGCACCATCCCACAACTTACTCATCTGTAGTGACAAGAAGGAAAAAAACTGACATGAACAAGAATATTACAAGATCTTTTTCTTTTTTAATAAAATGTCTCTTTCCAGTAACATTCCAAATAATCATAAATGTTTGTACTACTTGAAATTTGTGTGAAACACTGGTGACACATTCACAAAAGTAAGTGAAGTTGATGTGAATGTGTGAGTGAAAATATTGCTGTGAAGATTTATTTTAGTGTCTGCCAAAGGAGAAGATTTGGAAAGAGAATCAGCTTATGTGCACTGCTTTTGGTTTTCTTCTGTTGCTTAGAAGAAGAAAATGTAATAACTTGATGAAGTTATAAATCTATATAAAAATTAGAAAATGTGATTCCAACATTAAAATAATAATATAGAGCTTCAGATCATTCGGGTATATTTCAAATTCAGAGTTTAGGACTCTGGTGTTTGACCTATTTCCTCAAACAATAAAGTGAAAATCCTTTTGTGAATCATACACATTAGCTGCCTCTGCGTTGCTGACTCTAGTCTTTCCGGGACTAGAGCCAACACGAAGAGTCCTTTAAACACACGACAATGAAGTCATCACAGTAAAAAGGGGACGGGGGGTCTATAAATGTTACTCCTGCTTTCATAAAAAACAAGTCCTTTAATTACTATTTTTTCTAAACTTAAGTTATAACTTAACCCACATTAAGAATTTGGGGGTTTTGTTGTGGGTATGAAGAAAAAACAGAACTTTTCCTTGGCTTAGTGAAAATGGTTCAGAATAGTTATTCACAAATGCTCACTCCCGCTCTGACCACTTTATTCCTTCGTTTCCTAAAACGGGGGACACGTTATTAAAATATTAATAGAAGATAAAGCCAACGTAAGTCTCCTTGAGAAAATGTTAAGTAGAATAGTGTTTCTAAGCTGAAAATCTCATTTCTCACGCAAAATTTCCCTATTCAAATGGGCTGCACGAGAATTTTCTAAAAGCTATGGGTATAGAAGTCAGCAGGGGACACAAAAAGATGCAATGTTTGAATTATTTTATAACAGTCTATAAATAAGGTCAATTCCTTTGCACCTTAACGTTTGGTGGGTAAATACAGCACACGTAAACTCCATGGAAAATGCAGAAATGTTTACTCCTAACTCCTCTTTAACCTTGCATTAATCTTGTAGGGGGAAAGAAGCCTTGACTAACAGCGGAGACGCTGGTGGTCTGCTCGCTAACCACTCGTTGTGCATTGTGTGGCTCTGTGTATTCTGTCTGCCATTGTACAGGAGTTCAAACCCATTGGTACCACGCACAACAGAAGGGCCCAGCCTTTTGTTGCAGCGGCAAACATTGATGACAAAAGACAGGTAGTGAGCGCCTCCTATAACTCACCCATTGGGCTCTATTCAACTAGCAATATACGAGACGCGCTTCACGGACAGCTGCGGGGTCTCATTCCCAGCTCACCTCAAAAGTAAGTACCGGCCTCCGGCTCCGGCCCGGTGTCTTTTCCTTTCAGAAGTCCAGCTCTTGCTGTTTCACGTTTACTTTCCCGAAGGCGCGATCAGATCTTTGTTTTAAAGACAAGCATCTAGACCGTGGTTGCAGTCGCTGGTCCCTGGACATTCAGTGGCCAGCTGGTTAAAGGGAAGGGACAGCTCTGGTCCCTTCACCACCTTAGTCATGTCACTGTCTGGTGGTAAATAACCCGCTCTGTACAGTTACTTTTATCTGAAACTACCGACCAGGCTTCCACTGAGGGACGTTTTAACCCTTTGTTTCCGCAGGATGTGAACTACTTTGAACACAAGCACAATATTCGGCCCAAACCTTTCATAATCCCAGGCCGAAGCAGGTCATACGCTCTGAGATTGTGGAGTTTGGAGTGCATGCTTCTTTAACAAACCCCACTAATGCCCCGGAAAAGTAACTGTTGGGTGTTTGGAGTGAGTTTTTCCATTTTGAAGCTTATTTCAAAAGCAAAGGAAACAAGCTCAGCAGAGTATAGAGCCAACTAACCTCCGTCTCCAAGAGTGAACACTGACAGGATTACAGACCTTGAAATGTTGAGCAGTCACCACATATATTTATAACTAACACCCCTGGGGATCCCATCCAGAACACAGTGACCTCTGAGGCAGGCAGATGCACCCTATCCGGCTCAGGAAGGCCAGCCAGCAGGAACAAAAATGGGAACCAGCCCTCCCGGCAGGAGTAAGCAAGCAGGTGGGCCACAGATGCGGACGCCGGTGTCGCTTTCCATGTTAGACAGACTCTCATCACCCCCTCAGCACCTGCATCTCACCCGGGTCAGAGCCTGCCGGGCAGCCCCACTCACTCTAGCCCTAAGGTAAACATCAATTTGCATTCTTAGGGACACTTGCAAAGGAAGAGAGGGCACTTGGAAGGAACTTTTCCACCTGGGGGGAAATAAGTAATAAAGACAGAGTTGGGGGGAGGGGCACAGATTGGTTACCCTCATGGAAAACTGTGCACACACTGGACTAGTGAGCAACTTCAGTGCTGTCAGAGAAACAGATCATCTTCAGATGACCCTTCTCAGAATCTTCTCTAGAAACTGACCTCCAACCTCCGAGGGAAGAAATGAATGCCCTGTGTTGCCACATCAGGAAATGGCAAACCCATTACTCTGACCTCGGCTACACCAGTCAGCCCAAAGGAAGTGGGTGATTAGGTGGCATTGATCCTGGCAGGTTAGAACATTGACTAATGATCTATATCAGGATTCCCAAACCAGTGGGCCACAGGTGGATTCATCCACAGACAGTGTTTTATTTAACACTCCGACTGTTTAAATGAACTTGGGTAAGTGCCTTTAAGATAGAACATCTATTCTCCAGCTTGTCCAGATAAATGCCCATCACTCTAAGTGCGTGATTCCTGGTTCATTTTCCTACATGTGCGACCCTCCTGGCCCCCGGAGACATCTGAGGTTATCACGCCCGCTGTGGATGGTCAATCATCACGTATATGTGATGTCCATGTGCAGATCTTTCCAGAAGCTAGGGTCAGGAGCACAGGATTGCTTCAAAATAAGCCAGACAACCTCGTGATATCAGACTCAGAAAGAGCAGGAGAAAGATGCTAACAAGGTGGTTACTACAAAATACATCTTTCCCCACTAGAAGGGAAGGACATGACTACAGCCCGCCACTTACAAATGCAGCTGGCACAGAGCAAATCTGCAGTAAATGTTCACTAGATAAAGGAGCCAGATGTGGAGGGCGCCTGATATTTCCTGAGCAGCAAGAAGAACCAGGAGCTATGATCCCTCCCTCACTCCTGCTTGTTTGTCCCCTTGTTCCCACTCCATTTTCTTCTGTGTCTTTTCCCTATTTCTCCACACTCGACAGCTTTCCCAACTCCACTCCTGATAATATAACAGCACCCAATTAAGAGTTAAAATGCTCTTTTACTATTGAATAAATATAAGGGTGGGGCAAAAGTAGGTTTACAATTGTGAGTTTATTCTTGTATGACTATTAATTATTCTATTATCTTTCCATACGAACAACTGCAGACCTATTTCGCCCCAATCTGTATATGCGTCCTCCTGAAGAAACAAAGTTAACCTAATCTTCTTGCATTTTTTTGAGGTTAGCATAACAAGTCCACCACCTTGAGCTACAGGACTGCAAGAGGCTTGAGCAAAATTATAGGTTGGAGTAACACATATCTTGCCTTTGCTAAAAACCAGTGACATTTGATTTTACAAAAATTCAGGGAAAGTCGGAGAGATTCAGGTACACGAGGCCCTTCTTTTATATAGGGTGGGGCAAGAGTAGGTTTACAGTTGTGAGCAGGTGAAACACAGAGCTCATTCTTGTATTATTTATTAATTAATTATTGTATTATTTTCCATAGGAACAACTGTAAACCTACGTTTGCCCCACCCTGTGTTTTCGTTTTAATTCAAGTATGGTGATAATAACAAGTCCTTCATAATTCTATCATTGTTAGATGCCTTTCAATATAGCTGAATTTGGAAAGGGTGAGAGGAGAAACAGGGATGAGAGATTTGCTTAAAAAAAACCAGGTGCCAGTACACAAATCGGAAAGAACTGTGAAAGCGCCTCTGCTTCCTTCCTTTCTTCCTGTGGCCCCTCACTGTTTGCTCTAGCTTCTGAATTCCTTCTTCTCTCCAAATGGTCCTTCATCAAGGTGGAATTTTGAGTGGCTACATACCAAGCTACAGCTACACCATTAATGACCAACTTTTTAATCAGAAGTAAGTTGGAGATGCCAAATTGTTGGTATGTTCATCTCCCCCCAGGGCAGCGATTTTCAATGGGTATGCCACAAGAGACCCACAAAGCTCTTTAAAACATGCAGTACCTGACTCTTTAGTCAGGGGTACTGACCTCTTTTCCCTGAGATTGTCAAATAGAAAAATGACAACAGCCAACACGACAATAGCCATTGGCATGAATGAGTCAAAATTGTACCTATTTTATTTTTTCGTGAGATTGGCAAAATATATATATTTTTTGGTATGCCGCAGAATTTTAGTAATTAGTTTATGTGCCATGAGAGGGAAAAGGTTGAAAATCACTGCCCTAAGGTCTTACTACTAGTTATGGTTCTTAATTATTTCATCATTATTGAAAGATATTAAAAAGCCAGTATTTTCATATGCAAACATGTACATTTTTAAAGCCAACGATATCATTAAAAATATATGCAAGGTATTTTATAGATCCAAAAGATTAAATACAATCCTGTGAAGGGTTTTGGACAAGTTGCTTCCAGAAGCACGTCCCAGAAAGTCTGTATACACACCAGAGAAATCCGTTCTCTAACGATCTATCCAGGAGTAAAGTAACTGGGTGTATCATCAACCTTACAGGTGGTCTTGCCAAGTCAGTAAGTCAACGTCAAGAAAACTTGTTAGCAAGTACCTTTCCAAGTCACAGGAATAGGTCATGGTGACCCATGATGATATTCAGTGACTGGAGTCCAAAAAACTTTTTTTAAAGATATTTTATTGATTTTGAGAGAGAGAGAAAGGGGAAGGAGAGAGAGAGAAACATCGATGTGAGAGCAACACATCAATGGGCCACCTCTTGCCCATCAAGCCTGCCACCCAGGCTTGATGTGTCCTGACTGGCAATCGAACCAGCAACCTTCTGGTTCATAGAAAATACCCAACCAACTGAGCCACACTGGCCAGGGCCAAAACTTTTTTTTAAAGCATCAGCTCAAGAGTTTTTAAATTGTCCCAGAAATTCATAAAAAACTAATTCTTGTTTGCTTAGAGTTTATTTCCTATCTAATCAATAGGCAGGGGCCCTTAAAAAGAATGATAAACTAGGAAATAGAGCACAATCTTTGCTTCAATAAAGTGATATACATATACATGCATGTATAGAGAACACTGAAAACAGAAAAAGATTGCTAACTACAACTATAAAAAGAGGTCTATCTATAAGTTCTGAACTGATCCTAGTTTGTCCACTATCTAGCACCATGCCTGGCACACAGTAAGATCAGAGCAGTTATAAATGCTTGTTAGAAAGGTTCACTATTTTAAGCCTACATCTTCCAAGGTTTGACTTAAGTGTTTCAAATCCCTAATCTAATAAGCTTCATTACGCTTAGATCAAATCACTTGACCCTGACTCAACTGCAGTACAACTGAAATGTTCCTTCGATTTTTTCACTAACCGAAGTCGATTTCAGGAGCCAGTGTAGTGTTGAACCTACAGAAACGGCGAATAGGGCATTTGACATTTTGGTATGTGATCGCCCAGTTCACAAGTTGCATTTTAAACAGGCTTTCAAGCCAAGGAGTGAAGGAGCAGGTCCATATTCACCTGCCCCATTTAGGCTCTGCGGCTGGTTGAACTGGATAACACAAGACAAAAAAAAAAAAAAAA